GATGGCTGTGCGTGAAAATCCCAGTAGATCAGCAGTTTCTGAAATACTCAGACCAGCCCGTCTGGCACCAACAACCATGTCACTTAAATAGCCTTTCTTCCCCATTCTGATGCTCGATTTGAACTTCAGCAAGTTGTCTTGGCCACGTATACATGCCTAAATGCATAGCTATTTGGGTAAACAAGCAAATGAACAGGTGTACATAACAAAGTGGCAGGATGGGTGTATATCTAGTATTTTTACTTGAGCATAATATTCTAGCACTCTTTCCATCTCTGTGCACCTCGGTGCTCTGAGATAAAAGTGAATGTCAGCATGCTAACATGCTCACAGTGACAATGGTCCCATGCTAAACAAAGATAGTTTAGCATGGGACGATTATCACTATGGTAGCATATCAACATTTACTAGGGAATTACAACTGAGGCTGAGAGGAATATCATGACTTTTGCAGCTATTTGTCCAAAATGTGTCCAAAGTACAAAAGATTCCCTGATGATGGCACTAGATGAAAATCAGAGGATCACCAATGCAATCAACCCAACAGCTGAGATATGGAGTATACGGGTGGACCAAGCTCGCCACCCTTAGCGCCCGGCTGCTATCTTGTCTATAACTCAAGATGCCCAAGAAGAACTAGACATTTACAGTTTAGTTTTTGCACTTATTTAGCAGGTTAATAATATTTACTTAAGTCTTAAATACTTTTCTTCGTTCTGTGACTATTTTGTTTTTGCACTGTTTGCTATTTTTGTGTCTTGTTGAATTCTCATGGGGTATCTGACAAAGGCTCTATTTATAGGTTGTGCTTTTATTTAATGTGTAAAAGACTGATGAAGGCCTTTTGGGGATTCTCCATTTAAAGGACTACTGTATCCACGTGTTTTTCTTCCAACTCCTTCCAACGAGTCAACACATGATCATGTGAAGTATGCTGAGACCTTTACACAGCGAGGCTACAAATGTAAAGCTCATCTTGAGAGGGATGCAACCTGCTCAGGAAATTTCATTTATGGTATTTTTTTTGTGTACAATGGAAATGTTCGCCTGATGGTGGCGCAGCCGGGTGACGTTGACCCTGCTGCCTGGGGGGCAAATACATGAGTTGTGCATAACAGCCACAGAATGAAACGGACTGGAACAGCACAGAATTGCACTGCGACTAAATATAGGAGAACACGGCTGAACACCTTCCAACTCCTCCACAGATACATTTTTAACATTTATCCTGCCGTCAGCAGGAACAGGTTGTTCCTGCGCAGGCCTGGTAAGATGTGTGACATGGAGACGATGAAAGCATGTGCGATTCTTCCTCGCCCACAATAAATGGGGAAACTGGATGACTTCCAACTTTTCTCCTATCAGACCACCCACTTAGGCTGACAGAAAAAGAACATGCACAGCACAGATTTTGTCATCCACTAGAGGAGGGAGAGCAACATTTTGATGCCAGAATCCCTCTGTTACTGAACCTTTACCCCTTTACATTTTAATTAAGGGAAGTTTAATTAACTCTGCGTGCAAGAGAGGTGAATAAAATTTTTGTATTTTTAGGTTTTAAGTCACAACTTCCAATGCAAACATTCCATATATGGGCTTCTCCAGAGAGTGGGGACCCTCACTGTGTGGTTTTGATTAGGCACACCATCAGTACTGTTCATACAGACAACAGCCTTAATAATACACACACCAAGTCATTCTGTGAGCTCGCCAAGACCTTTTCTACACTCGTTTCATTTGGTTTTGACAGCTGGGGGTTCAGAGTTGGGCCAATGAGTCAGTGAATCCAATATTTCAAAGTCTTTGTATTTGTCAGAGACAGTGTTTTGATTGAAGTGGACTAGAGAAGAAGAAGAAGATTGGGGTTGGCTCTGTCTCAGCAACAGTTACTGTACACTATGGCATCATGGCTTTCTCAGCTTATGTTAACTTGTACATTTTAAGTTTATGTGTTTACCACCAGAACGCTGCACATGTGAATGGGAAACAGAGCGGTTAATTCCAGCAGTAAACTAAACTACATTTCACAACAAAATGTACACGTTCTTAACTTTAAATTTCAGGCAGACAGATACAAGCTTGTTTTGAGCAGAAATGACTTATTTAGCGGTTTTATTTTTGCAGCTCTGGTTATTAATTGGTCAGTTATGATAACATTGTATTCACCACAGCATGGCTGTAGGCAGATTTTTCAAAATATTTAGGTCATGAGTCCAAGCTCCCTCAAGCACCCTTGCTGCAGCTTCAAAGCCTTCTCAAATCTTTACAGTAACATACCGCAGAAAATAAAAAGTACTACTGTATATTCATTTTTGTTGTCCTTGATTATCAAAAGTGAAAAAAACCACCATACATTTTTAAAATGGCATCCCAACCCCCTGCTTGCATCCCGGTAAATAGCTCATCTTTCCGTGTCCAGGCTGTTAACAAGAACAAACACCAGAGTTTCTGCCTGGCATTCATTATTTATATCCCACCGGTTTTTGTAATGTGTTTACCAGTGATAACCATCTGAATGCAGGCACCTGGCAAATATGATGTGGTCACATTTTATTTTCCATCATTACAAGATGCACCATAACCAAGAGACAAAGTGTGGAAAAGACTGTGGGATACTGAGTGCTGTGAAAACAAAGCGGTGTCTGGGAAGGCCCTGGTGACTGTTTAGAGTTTAGTGTTGAAATGTGGAATCATCACCCATTCCTGCTCACGTTTTCCACAAAAGTCAATATAAAGGTCAACATGCAGCACAGGTGAAATGGCTCTTTGACTGCTCCACACATAGAGAGACACATTTTAAACCTGCTTTGGGCATAATATGAAGAAGGTACAAATTGGGATTTGGTCCTATCAGTCCAAATTACAAGCGTGCACTGAGAATAGCAACTCATCCTCCCTAACAGACATTTTTGGTCATTGTGTCATGGCACAGGTTGTGCTGGAGAAATTTGTGATTGCATCTTCCATCCATCCATGATATTCCATCACATTGCGGGGGGCTGGAGCAGCTGACATGGGGCGAAAAGCGGGGTACAACCTGGACAGGTCGCCAGTCCATCACGGCCACACATAGACAGACAACCACTCACACCTAAGGACAATTTAGGGTCACCAATCAACCAAGGCCGTATGTCTTTGGACGGTGGGAGGAAGCCAGAGCACCCGGAGAGAACCCACGCAGACATGGTGAGAACATGCAAACTCCACACAGAAAGTTTGAACCTTCGCCTTCTTGCTGTGAGGCCACAGCGCGATCCACCGGACCACTGTGCTTTGATGAATTCATTAAGATTAAACCCTGCGGCTGTTCAAACACAGGACACTCTGAATAAAATTAGAATATCATGGAAGAGTTTGTTGCCTTCTGTAATTTTATTCTAAAAGTGAAACTTTCATTACACATAAAGTGAAATATTTCTAGCCTTGTTTTCATTGATTCTAGATGATTAAAGTTTACAGCTCATGGCAACGAGCTGAAAACTCTAAAAATTTATTATAATTGTTGTTCTTCAGCAAGAATTTACAACACAGAAATGTTGACCAGGGAGGAGCTCTAATCAGCTAATTAACTCAAAACACCTGCAAAGGTTTCCTGAGCTTTCAATCTCAGTCTGGTTCTGGTGCTCACAATAAACTTTTCCATGATGTTCAAAGCACCTGTACAAGTGCCATCAGTTGCCGCTGCTGGAGAAAGAAGTTTCCTGCAGCATTGCCTCATGGGAGTTCCGTGGTGGGCTGGGCCTGGTATCCTCTTTCATCCTCGCCAATTGGCGTAGGCAGACAGAAACTAAAAACTGAAATGCTTCTGGGATGAGGGTTATCATTCGTTGACCATCACAGTGTAAACAGATGAGTTCCTCATCAGATCTGCAGCACTACAACATTCTTGCATTTCCTTTCACATTTCCTGCTTCTGACAAAGCTCATGTTAGGCAAGACCTGCCTTCTTTGTGTTCGGCAGCCAGTCAGTGGGACAATGTGAAATTTGACCAATTAAAATGTGGGGATATATCTGAAATCACTCCCCCGTTCACTCGTTCTCTACTCCCTATGTTATGAACACATTCCTCTAGTGAGCAGGAAGCATCATCACTTTGCATCATAACTGACAGGTGAAGTGTTGCATGACTGAAATATAACACCCATAAAATGTGATGCATTGTCAGTAGAAAGTAGTGTATATGAAATAGATACTATTCACTCATATAAAGTGCCCTGGTGTTGATAAGAAAACGCCATGCAAGAAATAACACAAGTTAAAGACCCTATGTTTGGAATATTTATGCAACTGTAGTATGTCAACAAAATATGTAGTTGTACATAATCTGATTTTGTTTTCATGAAATCAAAAGAATCCCGGTGAGAATTGGTACGTCAAGCCCTTTTTTGATACTCCCACTAAGGGTGCCAAAGTCAGACGTTTTCTAATCCTTCATATAGGGGCTTTAACTTGAATTTCAAAAGAGTACAGGTCTCTAACTTCACTTACCATCCCAAACTGTCCCAACATACAATTTAAATAGTCCCGCAGTAAATGCTGGCTTTCACAGTTATAAAAAGAAAATGATTAAACTGATAAAACATTTCATGTTGTGTTGTATGTTGTGTTGGTGTGGCCGTCGGTGACACCAGAAAGTGCAACATCCCACCACCGCTTCGGGACGCCAATGTAACTGTAACCTGACCGCTGCAACCAGTCCACTCTTTTTTTAGGCTAGGTCTAGCTTCAGCTCCGCCAAAAAGGTTTTTTTGTTTTTTTTTTATTGTCCCTTATCAATTGTTTTACATCCCAGGATGGCGGGACCCTGGAGTCCTAACAATCCAGATAAATGTTGTGGAAAGATAAAACTCCCATGAAAAAGTATTTAGGAAAAGCATATCTATCAGTCACAAAATATTTGTGTGCACCAGGATCAAATATCCACAGCCACTCAAAAAAATCAAAAAGAAGATAATCCAGATGAAAAATCTGTGCCAAGAAAAGCTCATCCACAAGTTACTTAATAACTCATCATACAGAATATTTATTGTATGTCCTCAAAATACACAAGAAACCATAAGACAGAACACAGGGTAAGGAAAACCCTTTCAGGTTATTTGAAAAGAACCACGTCTACCATCATGAATTTAGTTTAATCAGACTGGCAAAAGTATCTTCCGGTACAAATCAAACAAAGGCATTCTCAGTGGAAAAGTAATGCTGACCTTTGATTTAACAACTCAAAATAAATAAAAGATTTTTTTTTTCCTTACACCCGTAACAGTACCTGTCAGCCAAGATTCCCACTGGCTTTGTTTCGTGTGTTAAATTCAACCAAAACATTTCACATATTTCATGAATGCAGAACACAGGAGCCGTCTCTTTCCTCCTTTCTGACATCATAAAGGGAGTTTGTTCTCCCTCCCCTCTAAACAGAGCTTGGCCTACCAATCCATTTCCCCTGATGGCAAGAGATAATGACTTTCTTTAAGTCATATTTTGTAGACAAACATTAGTAGCATCCTAAACCAACTGAAACTATTCACTATGCTTTTGGCATGTTCCACTGGCCCTGTAGCAGAAAATGAGCCCACACAACAGCTTTCCTTAAGTTACAGCCAGCGAGCAGGTCAGCAGGACCTACGCAGCACGTTATTCTTGGATTTGGTAAAAATGTATGTTTGATGGTATCATGAGAACTTCCACCTTAGCAATTTGTGCTCAGCTGACTCCAGCAGCCACGTATGTCTTACTTTATACAGTGTCCAAATATGGGAATAAAAAACTGCCAAATGAGGTTGCACTTGTATGAAAAGATGCAGTGGTGGTGCACTCCAGTTCTTAAAGCTGGAAAGCCAATCTCTGTGTGTGCAATGTAAGTGTTGATCCTACAGTCATTTTGAAAATAATAAACAAGCTTTCTGTAAGAGGATGCAACCAAACGTGGGGATTTAAAGTCATTAAGTGTAGACTTTTTGTCGCTTGAAAATGTTGTACTGCTCACCTGAGGCGTCTCAAACACCCTGTTGGACGTCAGAGGCTTAATTTAATTAATTCAGAGGCAAATTTAGCTACATAGGCAAAGTTCTGAGATTCCAACTGGATTGTATCTGTCACAGCGCTGTGTGGGTGCAACTCTCCATTGATGCCGATACCCCACAAACATGGCCGTCTTCTTGTGGTATTGGGTTAAGGATTTTGTTTTCAGTGTACTAAACTGATTGAGGTTAGACTGATTAATTGTTCAACCAGTCAGAACCCAAAACCACAATTTTCATTTTCAAAAGATGGACCTGGATCAGGCTTTAACCCGATCCAGTCAAAACCACCACCCCTTCATTGACCGCCCAGGCTTCTAACTGGCCTCACAAAATTTAGGAGTTGAAAGCATTTTTTTATACAATGTAAGTTCTTCCTTACGAACAGCATTTGCAAAAGCAAAACTAGATTACAAATTTTTCAACAAAGTTGCACACATGTACTATGGAATATAAATGTATACGAGTTGGCATGACACCTGCAGAGGCAGTTTTTTGTTCCCATTGAAATGATTCAGTGTGACATTCTATTTTAATTCAAGTCAGTGACAGTGTGTCGTAGTAATGCTCAACTGTCACATGGATTCAAAGATATACCTGTGGTGAAGTGCTTCAACAAGGTCTCATTCTGCTGTGTCTTTTTTTGCCATTTCAAACACACACACACACACACACGCGCGCACACACACTTGCAAATTAAATTCAATAAATAAGACTTACAATGTTGTAAGGCAATGTTGACCATGCATTTGTCACAATGAACAACAAATCAAGAAACATACATGGTAATATGCACATTCATTAAGAGCAACAAGGTCGCCACGCCACACTTGTTTTTCTCCCCCATAAATCAAGTGACATTTTCAAGGCTTCCTGGGTGATCTCCTGATCGACAGGGCTCATCCCCACGACACCTGGCTCTGGTTTCTGTAGCGGGATGACCTCTTCTTCAGAGACCCCAGTCCAACCAGCAGGCTGGACACACAGCAACTGGACCCAGCCACAGTGGGGCTTTTGCATTGGATCCAAAGTTGGAGTTTAAGAAAAATCTAAAGTCTATGTGGAGACAGAGATCCAGCAGCCAGCTGCTCAGAGCCTCAGGACAGTCCGCAGGTTTCCAGGTAACTCTGGAGCTTTCTTACTGTACTTCTGTCCAAGGAGCAAAGGTCAAAGTCAAAAGTAGTGTTTGTGATGTGGAAGTGTCCAGTCTCTTCAATGAGGTTCACAATCTGGAAGACAGGGGGAACAATGGAACAAAACATTTACACCTGTAATCAGGGTTCTGTGGTGAAAACATTTACCTGCATATGCAAGTAAAATATCTGCTCACACAATAAATATTTTACGGGATACAGTTTATGGTTCATTAAATGTGAAACCAAAGTGTGCAAATGTCAGGAACTAAAATAACGTCAGTACAGTCAGTCACAATCAATTTAATCATGTACTGGACTTTACACAAAAGGCTTTGCGTTTTGACAGGCCAATTAATGATTAAATAAAGGTTAAATAAAACAACAAAAATAAGATTACATAAGCAGAAAGAGGACAAGAGGGGTCCACACAAATTTGATTTGGTAGAGGGTAGAAGTATGTACCTTTCCTGTGTATTACTGAGGTCAGACTTCTTGAAGCATGTGGTTTAAAGTCCTGGGGATTATAAGGAACACCATCCCATATATCTTGGTGTAGGTACAGTTCTCAAAAACGTGGGGGAAAACACAGCCTGTTTTTATGAGGGCAGATCTAAGTCAGATGCTCAGGCGTCACCTCATCCATTCCACTCCGGTTTAGACGAGTGGGTGGCGATTTGGCCAGTTTGCACATTTTAATTGCTGTTTAGGATTCGTCTCAACTGGAAACAGCTACCAAACTCAAGTCATGTTGCACTGTCTGAAGACGTGCCATGTGTATTACAGTGTTCTGTGATACAATATGCGGTCCCCACCAGTGTGCAGGAGAGGCTGCGAGTTAATCATTTCCATCTCTTGTAACAGGAAGTGGAGCCAGTTGGTGAACTCTGCTAGATTAGCTTGATTACTGTGCAAATGAAAGCTGCGCACGGGTGACGCTGTTTTGGATGGGATTTCGTCTTTCTTCAGAGCCAGGCGTCTTGTTAGGAGAGCGAGGCAGAACTTGGCAGCCGCAGCCGGGAAGATCCATTAATACAGTCATATGATAGGCCTCGAAAATATAACAAGAAACATGCAATCTCTTAGGTGGAGAGGTTAACCACATAATTAATTGCTTCCAGATGAAGCCGCAGATTACAGAGGATCTGTAACAGATCCCAGCTCCTCTTTTAATCCAACGCAACAATCTAGCTGACCAATAGACATGTTGCGAAATTATGCTGAGATCAGTGAAAGCAGTGGAAGCCAGGCATTACATTCTTCATTTAATTTGTCTGGAGTTTGGCAGTTTAGTGTTATCCTTGCATATAAGGTAATACTGCAGTAATTAAAAAGTGATAATACAAACCTCAATTATATTAAATGTTTTGTTTGGCAATGGAATTTGTTACTTCTACTTCTATGATGTCACTTGAGTCAGCGTCGGTTGGAGTTAGAAAATCAAACAAATGTGTTGGTATGGACTAAGAAGGAGGTGGCATCATCTTTACTGACAGTTACATTGTTTTCCACTTGGTAAATGAAAAACGCCCGACAAAGCTGAAAGTATCAGCACGCTGTCTCGCTGTTGAGCTAAAGTAATGTTAGCTAACGTTATAGTTTCATGCTAGTATAGTATGCTTCAGTTGCCAAATATTAGTGATAGAGTGATAGTTTCTTTTGTTGGAAAAACCCATCATAAGATAAGATAGACTTTATTGTGCCGGAGAAAATTAGTCTTGAACACGTAAGGTATCTGCAGTAAAAAGATACAAAATAACATATAGTACATATAGACTGAGACTAGACTACACACACGTTTGTTCCTCTATCCCAGGGGTATTCAATTAGATTTCAAAGGGGTCTAGTTAGAGAAAATTTCCCGAAGCAAAGGTCCAGAACATCAAAATGACGAACTTGCGTTATCATTCAGTACTATAACCTATAGTTGTATCAACACATGTTTTTAGTCAACAACGGACTGTCAAATCAAATAATATTTTTCCCATCAAACTGGAAGGATAAATAATAACTATTCAAATTTAAGTAAACTAAATTAAAGTGCCTAATTTTTAGAAAAAATGTAATAAAAAGTGTAGCTTGAAGTGATGAAGTGTAGTCTTAACCAATTTTATAATAAACACACAACTGAACAGCTGTAATGCCTCCTCTTCTCTTTCATTTCCTCTTACAGAGCTACCACTTTCCTACTTTCTGTTGTTCAGTGAGAAACGTGAGCTCCAACTAGCATATTGGAGATCTATGAGATATTCTGGTTTTGAACTGCCCGTGGGAGGAATGTACATGTAAAAATCTGTACATTCTTGATTAAAAGTCATGTGAAATCTCTTTTCCCTTTCGTCCCCTCAATTCGCGTGTGTTTCCAAAACGTCTCTGGTGAATCTCGCGGACTCGACTCGCAAGCATCGGTATGCACAGATTTGATTGGCTGAGCAGCGTCACATGAGAGGATTGGAGCACATGCAATTGGTCTGTGAGTTTCCTGGTCCTCTAAACCAGTACAGTAAATGCTAGAAAAGCTGCGCGGGTTAAAATAGAAACGCTCCATCACGAGGTAGTAAGTCTCAATAATAAATGGGCTGTAGGTCGGCGGTCCGGAGAGGACGGCAGCTGGGTCTGGATCCGGACCGCGGTCCACCTATTGGTGACCTCTGCTCTATCCCTTTGGGAACTTCTCATTGACATATTGCATTCCATAGCGCCTTACCCTAACCTCAACCATCACAACTACATGTCTAACGTCAACCCTTACCATAACCTAAACCTAATTAACCCTTCAATAAGCCACACCCCCTTAGTTACTGTTGCTAAATCCGACAAATTTTCGGACCTGTCGGACTTTTCTCACAGCGCTGCCACTGCCTATTACTTCACTCCCTGGTGAAATCTTGTCAAATTGTTGAAAAAAGCGATCTCAGAAAGAAGTAGACTGTTGTGCATTTGAAGGTTTTATTCAGCCTGTCCAACTGATGTGAAACAAATAAGGACAGAAGCTAAAGTCTACCGATCACAGGGTAAAAGTGAACCACTTCATCACCTGACTATTGAGAAAGAGGAAAACGATATTAAGGATCAACATCGTTCCTGTGCAGCTTGGCAGGTCTCTATTCACGATTACGATCATTAAAAAGCAGAGCAGTAGGGTTATATAATGTTACATTCAGTAGTAAGTTAGCTAGCGTTAGCTAACTTACATTACATTAGGGACAATCCACAGCCTACATCTTTCTGGATTAGTTTTAGGTTTCGGAAAGAGAATAAATCGTACTTCTCGTCAACCTCTCTGGGTAGCGACTGTAACTATTACAAGTGCCCCAGGAACAGTGTTTCACCATATCTTGGAAAAATACAGCCAAAAAAACAACAACTAGAAAATTACATCTTTTACATTAGAGTCAATGGAGTGCACCTCAGTTAGAGCAAGTCCAATACTGTGCTGTGATTGGCAAGCTGCATATTCAGGGCGTGGCTTAGCGAAAGGTCACTTGTAACCTGAACCCTCTGTTCTGAAAGGGATAGTAAGTGATTCTGCAGGATTGTTGATATTTGAAGCCCTCCCTTCAGTGCTCCCTTAGAGGCTCTGTCTGTTTCAACTCTATGGTTTCTCCAGCGTTGAAACTCTTTCACCCTTGCCTGGACTTTCAACTCTATTTATACTATTCAGACCGGTTCCTCTTTGCCTGTTTCTTGGCAAACCCTCCTTCTCAGGGCCTGGATTCCAGCAAGTTCCAATGTACCAGTGAATAGAACGCTCTCTCTCACTGCCCCACTGCCCCCATCCCTCCTGTGCACGAGCACTAACTCCACCTGTTGCTGATTGGCTGAAAAAATATTGTGTGGTAAGGTCCACACCCCTTTATTTGTGTTCCATTTCACACAGCCAAGGCTGTGTACGAAAGCACACTAACAGTATACATTATATGTGCAGTAGGAGTAAGCACCCTCATCAACATCAGCAGAGGCAGAGGAAGCAGCTTCAGCATCAGCTGCTTAAAACGCTGACTGCAACTACAGGACGGACTGAATCCACAGAGAGAACCATGATGACCACCTTCATCTGAAGAGTGCGTTTGTGGTTTTTAAACGTGTGAAATGCATTGTGAGAGTAACTGGGAATGTGCAGCTGAATTAGAGGAGGCAGGTTGAGGGAAAAAAGGCACACAAGAAAGGAAATGCCATATTCACAAAGTAACACCTTCAATACCCAGAGTGTTCCACTCGGACGATACATCAGAGTATACATGCATACATACAAACCTGCTGCAGTATGTGACCTTCTCTTAGTGTCATCAGTCTTTTGTGCAGTTCCACCAGCTCATCCAGGTAAGCCTAGGAAACAAGGAATAGCTTTATGGCTTTCATTTGCTGCTTGTACACAGAAATCTGATGGATGGATAGTGTTGACATGATACCCAAGTTTGGTACTATAACGTTTTTCGATGCCCTACATTCTGAAATAGAAATGATCTATTGTGTACAAACCACCAATTTTCCCATTTAACAAAAAGAAGTTGAAAGAAGTTTTTCAATATTAAATGTCATCTAATCCCAAGCAGCTGCTCAACAACCTTGCCCACAGAATACTAAATTAGGAACTATATGATCAAAAAAGACGTAAATAAGGTTATGAATCTTACCCGATGTTGGATGCCAGATTTCAGTACTTGACATTTGTTGATGTCTAAACATAAATGCAATGCTATAATTGTATTTTCAGAACAGAGCTGTCAACTGCTGCAGTACTTACACTGGTTACTTATCTACACTGTCCGCGTGATGTGTTTCTATAGGATTTCCTCTGTTTAATCAGTCAGCTTTTAACCTAGCTTATTTCACATGTTGTCAGTCTGACGGTATCACATATGTATTTTGTCAGCTTGTTGGAGCGCATACAATTTATACAGAGTGAAATGTTCAAACCCAAGACTATCTTTGGAAACCACCTGAACACAGCACGAGTTGCTGTCACTATTAAGTAGTAGTGTAGTAACCCATCAAATATTTCTATAGGTGTATTAAAGCCAAGATGCATCAGATCCATGTTACTCCTCTGGTCAGGAGCAAGGATGTGAAGTCAGCGTGGATGATGCACGTTAACTCATTTAAACCAACAGTTCAACCCTGCCTCACAGTCTGTCTGAATAGTGTAAGACACTGTGACAGACTCTACTGAGTCAAGCACTGAGCATGCACCATATGTTTCCATATGTTGCTGACATTTCCTCTTCAATTTTATATGGGCTGCTTTATGCTGAAAAGCAAAAACAAAAAAGCCTTGTGTACCTTGTCACAATCTAGACTTTTGTTCTTGTCCTGCTTGCTCTGCTTGGTGGGGCTCTTCACTTCCAGTATCTGCCAGACGACAGAGTAAACACATAGAGTCAAAGTCACTCTGTGTGACCTGAAGCTACATACATAAACATCTGGGTTCCCCTTGTGATGCATTCAATTTACTAACAAAACACAGGATAAATAATATAATCTTACCTGGTTATTAGTAGTCTTTAATAAGGGTGGGGCTTCATTGCGAGGCGGGAGTGAGGGTGAGGAGCTGTCACTTTCACTGCCATCACTCAAACTGACCCTGGGTAGTTAAGTCACAGGAGAAAAGAAGAAATGCTTCAGTACTTCAAAATATTCATTACACTTCTTCAGTGTGGCTGGAGTCCTACGGTCATGGAGAAAAATAAATAAAAAACCCAGAAGTTGTGAAAAATGAACGCCTCCCCCTTTTTCAAAAACTGTATATAAAACGTTAAATTGTGATACAGCACATTTTCTGGAAACCATTTATAGATAATAAAACCAGATGTTTAGGTCAGTTTTGGGATAACCCCTTTAAAAAAAGCTTTTTTTGGGGTTTTTTTTAAAGGCTTTTTGAAACAGTCAACAGACTTGGCTGATTGAGGCCGTGCACATCCCATGCCAGTTTGTGATGTTTCCAGTCAGGATGCTTTCTATTTCTCTTCTGTAAAAGCTGACAAGAACTTAGCATGGGAATTTGGCCTTCTTAAGCTTCCTTAATACAGTTGTTTTTGAGCTTTCTTCACCAGCATGGAGAAGAAGATTCCCAGGAACAGCTAAACAGTTATGGAGAGCGTCTAGGTTGCTGAAGTTGTCTGGTTTTACTGAAACATAAAGCTGCGTAACAATAATCAGTCGCACATCCAGAGCGACTGATTATCTGGCCCAAGGAAAGCATATACAAAGAGAAAAGAATAGGCCCGAGGACTGACCCCTGAGGCACCTCAAAATAACAGGGGAGTGGATGAAAAAAAAGACAAATTTGCCCAAGAAGCGTCTGACTGACAAATATGAACCAGGCGCTCTCCCTGACATACCAACAGATCTATTTAACCTGTTGATGAGGATAAAATGATCGATGGTGTCCACACTTAATCCGTAACATTTACATTTCTGTTAGGTAATGTAAACCTAACAGAGCTCATCATAGCACAGAGACAGCACTGGTGAAAATTACTAATGACCTCCTCATTGCATCAGACAAAGGACTTGTCTCTGTACTGGTTTTATTAGATCTTAGTGCTGCATTTGATACCATTGACCATCAGATCCTATTGCAGAGACTGGAATATTTCATTGGCATTAAAGGAACCGCTCTAAGCTGGTTTAAGTCCTATTTATCAGATCGATTTCAATTTGTACATGTTAACGATGAGTCCTCCATGCACGCCAAAGTTAGTCATGGAGTTCCACAAGGATCTGTGCTCGGACCAATCCTCTTCACTTTATATATGCTTCCTTTAGGCAATATTATCAGGAAATATTCCATAAACTTTCATTGTTATGCAGATGATACTCAGTTATATCTATCGATCAAACCAGATGAAACTCATCAGTTAGCTAAAGTTCAAATGTGCCTTCAGGATGTTAAAATCTGGATGACCTGTAATTTTCTAATGTTAAACTCAGATAAAACTGAAGTTATTATTCTGGGGCCTAAGCACCTCCGTGACGCATTATCTAAAGATATAGTTTCCCTTGATGGCATCGCCCTGGCCTCCAGCACCACTGTGAGGAATCTTGGAGTTATCTTTGATCAGGACATGTCGTTTAAGTCTCACATTAAACAAATTTCAAGGAACGCCTTTTTTTCACCTACGTAATATTGCGAAAATCAGGAACATACTGTCTAAAAATGATGCAGAAAAACTAGTCCATGCATTTGTTACTTCTAGGCTGGATTACTGCAATTCCTTATTATCAGGCTGCTCGAAAAAGTCCAGCTGATCCAGAATGCTGCAGCTTGTGTTCTGACAGGAACCAGGAAAAGAGATCATATTTCTCCTGTTTTAGCTTCTTTGCATTGGCTTCCAGTAAAATCCAGAATAGAATTTAAAATCATTCTTCTTACCTACAAAGTTCTTAATGGTCAGACACCATCTTATCTTAAAGAGCTCATAGTACCTTACCACCCCACCAGAGCACTGCGCTCCCAGAATGCAGGATTACTTGTGGTTCCTAGAGTCTCCAAAAGTAGACTAAGAGCCAGAGCGTTAAGCTATCAAGCTCCTCTCCCGTGGAACCAGGTTCCAGTTTGTGTTCAGGAGGCAGACACCATCTCCACATTTAAGAGTAGGCTTAAGACTTTCCTCTTTGATAAAGCTTATAGTTAGGGCTGGCTCAGGTGAGTCCTGAACCATCCCTTAGTTATGCTGCTATAGGCCTAGACTGCCGGGGGATTTCCCATGATGCACTGAGCTCCTCTCTCCTCTACTTTCTCTCCCTCTGTATGCAACCTCATCCCATTATTTCATGTTACTAACACAACTTCTCCCCTTTCCGGTAGTCTTGTGCTTTCTCGTCCCTCTCCTCTCTCCTCCTATCACTCCCTGCAGGTGTTTCTGGCTCTGGAGCTGTGGAGTCTGGATCTGTGGTTGCGGGTCACCTGCTGCCCCCGTGTTCCTGCTCGACACCCTCTGCTACAACAACTACTGTTACTAGTCCTATTGTTATTATTGTTATTATAATCATTAACACTACTATAAATATCTGTACCATTTTTCATTTCGTCTATAGCAACATCACCTTTACTGTCTGTACCTCTGTGTGTATATTGTGTAGGCTGCCTCCCTCCCCTCTCTCTCTCTCCCTCTCCCTCCTTCACCCCAACCGGTCGAGGAAGATGGCCGCCCACCCTGAGCCATGGTTCTGCTCGAGGTTTCTGCATCTTAAAAGGAAGTTTTTCCTTGCCTCTGTCGCATAGTGCTGCTCTTCGTGGGAACTGTTGGGCTTCTGTAAATAACATCATAGAGTACGGTCTAGACCTGCTCTTTTATGAAAAGCGCTGTGAGATAACTGTTGTTGTGATTTGGCGCTATATAAATAAAATTGAATTGAATTAAACAAACCACATACCGATCAGCTGTGCTAGCTGTAAAATATGGGTGAGTTTCCTCATCATGTACCAAACCCAGCCTTGTTTTTGACTGCACGCTCACCATTCTGATTGTGAGAACATGCCAAAATCCACTCCATTGAGAAGTTATACAGAAAATCACAAACTTGCCCCCCAACAACCAATACGACTGCAGTAGTCTAGTTCAAAGTCTATAGTTCCTGTGCTCCATTTATATTTGTATTTGTTGCCTGTGTCCATGTCTAAAATGAGGTCCATCAACAGGCTGGGTTGTTGTGAGCATTTACTAACCTGCGTTGGTGATGCGTGAGATGTGTGTGTGCTGGTCGCTCCATATCAGAGTCCATGTCATTGTCTTCGTCGTCGTCCTCTGAATCTTCATCGTTGTCGTCTGAGTGCAGATCCTGCATGACTGACTGCAACGGGCCCAGCACTGTGTGTGGGTGTGACACAAACGACGACATTGGAATAGAGTTTTTTTTTTTTTTTTTTATATTAAATTCTAGTAAAAACATGCATAAGGCAGCAGATCATGCTGTGAGGTGGAGAGATGGTGGGATTGTGAGGCAAAGGGATGATCCAGTGGAGCTTATGGGCGCAGAACCGCTGCTGGTTTGATCCCAGTAAGGACGGAGACACATTTATACTTGCCTAGAGTAAGTCTGTCTATTATATCTATATCTGTGTACTTTTATCTGTATATTTTTCTTATTCAACTCTTCTCTTTCTTTTTCAACAAATCCCATAACAAGACCAAAAACCAAGACTAAATGAGTCCATCTTTCACTCCTTTCTGACTTACTACCTGTGGCTCAAAGCTCCAAGCCCACTGGTTCCCAATGAAGACGTAAATCTTTAAAAAACAGCTCACAAATGTATAGTTTCTTTTTTTTAAAAGCTCAGTAATTTCCTACAACAGCTGCTCAATGCAGTTTTTATGAAACAGGAAATAGTGCATTTGTTAGGAACTATTCAGCGATGAATGAAGCCACATTTGGTGCTCTGGTGAGCAGCAGCAGCAGGACAGTGTATGTGGGACTGAGTCAGATTACACTACAGTGTGTGTGTGTTCATGGTGATGAGGGAACATGTCACCCATTGCAGCAGCGAGGCTCACTATTGTGTTTTAACAGTTTATGGACAACAATGGAGGTAATAATATAAAAAGACAAATAGTGTGTTCCCACACTTTGACACCATAGAGTGCCTGAGGGCATATGCACAGATGTTGCTGTGACTGGTGGTGTGATGGGTGCTCTGGAGGGCAGCATCATATCCATGATATAATACCAAAGAGATGCATGAGTTTTCATGCATGCTGACAAGCTGGAAAAATATCCAGATATGCAAATGTGAAAAGGGCGTGGGGGCCTCACAGGTCTCAGAGGAACGGTTACCTGTGTGGGTGGTGGCAGGAATAGCCACCCTTTTCCTGATGATGAAGTCCACCACTGCATCCAGAGAAAATTACAAAACACACAAGCAGAGGTCACCCTCAAGACGAGAAGCTCCAAAATATGCCCCGTATTTTGGACCAAACAACACATTCTAGACTCATCTGGCCCTTGTCGACCATTCTCAGACCTAAATGACTTTAAAAGGATTAAAAACTCATTTTTTCTTTCATGTTTTCATATTTTTAGACATCCATTTTCATCGGTTATGATAGCATTCACTCAGTGTTTTCACTGCACAGATCTGGGTGCTGCAACGGTTCCAGATTCCAAAGGGGGAACCAACATAAATAGTCAGGTTTAAACATATGGCAGGTTTAAGCCTAGTTATCTAAACCACTTATTTGGAAGTAAAAGTTGAACAAGGATGGCGCTCTGCAGTATCTAGCTGAAGTACAATTGACAGTTAGGATAATAATTTCTGTGCTTCTGTCCTTTGCTTTCACTTTCAAATAAGTGGTTTTGATAAGAGGGTTACACTGGAAAACAGCTGGTTTGGTGATTCATGTAGATCTCTAATAACAAATATGATGGCACCCAGAGATTTGGAGAATAAAATCCAAATTTTAAAATGTTACCAGAGCAAATCCTCAGAAGCTCCTTTTCTCTGGAAAAAACAATTTCATACTCTTTATTACTTTGAAAGGTTTTGTTGATCTCTGAACAAAACATTTAGACAAAGCTCTGTTACGTTCAGTTAGAAAGGAAATGAATATCAGTGGGACAGTTTAAATTCCGTCTCTGACATTGGCTAAGCTTCTTTAGTTTCTGCAAAACAAACTGGACTAGAAGTTACACTTAAATATACAGATCATTTCTGACTGAACAGACGATAAACAGGAGATCTGATATAAATCACGTATTTTCCAGATAGTTACCTTGTCGTTTTTGATGCGTGGGAGCGAAGCCTGAACTGGAGCTGGAACTGGCAGGACTGGGCTGTTCGGACTGAGAGGAAGAAGAGAAAAGAAACGTTGATAGGTCAAACACATGAAATAGACTGAAGTTTCATCCATACAGTTTTTGACAAACAACACCACCATCCAATATGTTGTGCCAATATCTGCTATCATGACGTTTGACCACTCTCATGCCATTATATCTTCAGTATTTCCCCATTTGGAACAGCTTCTGACGAGGTCTGACAAAATGCCGCGCTAGTTCTAGTTAAGCTGCTACTGACAGTCTGTAGCTGTATGGGATAACTGTTCTTTGTAAATATGCATAAAGATGTCAGCCTAACAAGGAGTGCAGGTCTTTTATCATTATTTAGATCATTTGCTTTCTGTGATGTTCTTTTGAGTACACAATAAAGACAACTGCATGTCAGAAGCCAGCTGGCCATTGGATGTAGTCTTTGAGGCGAGTTTAAGTGCTGCTTTTAACAAGCCGTGAGGTGGCACATTAGTCCGCCTCTGTCAACACTAATTCTTTGAAGTCATCTTGGTGGGTCAGGGCCCGGAGCCAACATCCATCCAACAAGTTGCTCTGCTCCTGGCTTTCGTCTGAAAAGAGCCAGGCCACCTTTACCGCTCGAGCCTCAGGTCTGCATTTAGCTTCATAAGTCACTGAGTCTAATGATGTGCCACACACATGCAGCAAACGCACACAAACAGTTCTGAAACGTAGGAGCACTCACTACATTCAGTGTGGAATGCAGACATTCAGCATAATGAACGTCACTGCACTCAAACAATCGTCATGTCAGTTTATGCGGCGGATCTACCACAAATAAATTGCCAGCGTGTGAAAAACACCGGAGCCTGTTTCGTGTCAAGGGTAGAGAACTTTACGTTTGGGGTGGGCGGGTAGTGCAGAGGTATCCACCACCAGAGACACCTGGTGTTTGATTCCTGCTCCCTATGGCTTGGCTACAGGTTTGAACACAAGACTTGCATGTTTCATTTTGATCTTTTCTGGTTCCATTTAAGTAATTGTTTGATTCTCCTAATATATACCAAGTTGTTATGACGTAGTATATGACGTAGTATATGAAACAGCATATGTTACCAGAAATATTTCAGCATGATATAGATTTCATGGTAATAACTGGCAGTCATAATGTGCAGCACTACATTACCCTGGAATTGTCTGAGGCACTCCAAAAAACAGCCCTGAAATGAACTAATACCTAATAATAATAATAATAATAATAATAATCCTCATTTGTAGAGCACTTTTCAAAAACAAGTTACAAAGTGCTTTAACAAGTGTAAAGAATAATACAAAAAAACAAAACAAAAAAACAAGATAAGAGCATGAAAAATTAATATAAAATTAGTAAAATACAATAAAATAAAAGGGATAAAATAAAGTCAAATAAGATCGGGAAAGGCTCTCCTATAAAAGTATGTTTTAAGAAGGGACTTAAAAGAGTTCACTGACTCAGCCGACCTGATTTCCTCGGGCAGGCTGTTCCAGAGCCTCGGGGCCCTGACAGCAAACGCTCTGTCCCCTTTAGTTTTCAGTCGAGACTCTGGAACAGACAACAGACCTCTGCCCGAGGATCTCAAGGTACGTGCTGGTGTGTATGGGACTAAAAGTTCAGAAATATAACAAGGCGAGAGGCCATGAAGAGCTTTAAAAGTGATCAATAGAATTTTAAAGTCAGTTCTAAAACACACAGGGAGCCAGTGTAATGAAGCTAAAATAGGAGTAATGTGGTCATATTTCTTTGTTCTGGTTAAAAGCCTGGCAGCTGAGTTCTGGACAGTCTGGAGTCGATCAATAGATTTTTGGGTTAAACAGGTGAAAAGGCTGTTGCAATAATCCAGGCGTGATGAGATGAAGGCGTGTAAAATGGTCTCGGTGTCCTTAAAAGTTAACATAGATCGAATTTTTGCTATATTTCTAAGTTGATAAAAACATGATTGAACAAGCTTTGTGGTGTGCTGCTCGAAATTTAAATTACTATCAAACCAAACACCAAGGTTCTTTGCCACAGGCTTAATGTTATTTACTAGGGAACCAGCAGATGGCAGTATTTGATTTGCCATCTGCTGAGACCCGATGACCAGGATTTCTGTTTTGTCTGAGTTCAGCTGGAGGAAATTATTTGACATCCATTTTTTAACTTCACAAAGGCAGTTGTTAAGTGAACTCAGCATTCCAGGGTCTGTGGATCTGACGGGCAAGTATATTTGTGTGTCATCAGCATAAATATGAAAAGAAATGCCATGTTTATGGATAATATGTCCAAGGGGAAGCAGATACAAGGAAAACAAAATGGGTCCTAAGACCGACCCCTGAGGCACACCATATTTAACTGGACAGAATGAGGAGAGTTGTTTACAGACACACAAAACTTCCTATTTGACAGGTAGGATGAAAACCATTCTAGGGCAGTACCAGAGATCCCCACCCAGTGCCTCAGTCTGTCTAACATGATGTTGTGATCAATGGTGTCAAAAGCAGCGCTAAGGTCCAGGAGTACAAGGACTGAGCACATACCTTCATCAGCAGACATTAAAAGGTCATTGGTGACTTTAAGCAGGACTTTCTCAGTGCTGTGGTACTTCCTAAAACCAGACTGAAACTTTTCAAATATTTTGTTATTTTCCAGTACAGTGAGCAGCTGTTTGGACACAATTCTTTCTAGAATCTTTGCAATAAAAGGCAGTTTTGAAATTGGTCTAAAATTATGTGGGAGGGAGGGATCTAAACCAGATTTCTTTAAAAGTGGGTTCACGCAAGCCGTTTTAAAATAATCAGGGACACAACCAGTAGATAGGGAGCTGTTGAAAACAGAGATCAAATGGGGCCCAACAGAATCTATTACTTTCAGTAAAGATTTTGTGGGTATTACATCAAGTGGGCTGGAGGACACTCTCATTTGTGATACTGTTTTTAAAAGCCCAGACAAGTCGATGGGATAAAACTGGTTAAAACTCTCTTTGAGGGACCTCTGAGTAAGAGGCAGTGGGGTTAATAGAGGCTCTGATTGACACCACCTTATTGGTAAAATAAGATAAAAACAATTCACAGTCATCATTACTTCCAGCTGAGGCACAAGGAGGGGTTGGGTTTACCAGCTGATCCACAGTCTTAAACAGAAACCTGGGATTGTGTTTGTGTAGTAATGAGTTCAGAAAAATAGTGTGTTCTCGCATCCTTAACCATGTTATTGTAGTTAATTAATAAATCCTTCAGACTGAGGTAATGGACTTGGAGACTGGATTTTTTCCATCTGCGCTCTGCTTTCCTGCATTCCCTTTTTAGGTTGCGAATGCTGTCATTTATCCAGGGTTGCTTACTAGCTTTAGACGTAGGCCTAACCTTTAGAGGAGCAGTAATATTTAGTGATGACAAGCAGATATGATTGAAGTGATCGACCAGATTGTCGGTGTTGGAATCAGACAGGTGTTGGCTTTGGCTCTGAAAGAATGCGCAAAACTTTGAAACACTTTGTTCATTAAAGATGCGAGAACACACGGAGCTTGGTGAGGCAGCATGAGTAACAGGCGAATCGCAGCTAAAAACAATACATCTGTGGTCAGATATGGTCATGTCCACTAATTCCACAGAGGAAATGCTGACACCCAGGGTAAAAACCAAGTCCAGTGTATGACCACGGTTATGTGTTTGCCCTTTGACATGTTGTTTGAAGTTAAAAGAAGTGGCCATATTTAAAAAGTTAGTTACATTAACATTGTTGGGGTCATCAACATGAATATTAAAATCGCCACAAAGAACAATTCTGTCATAATTTAAAACCAGAGTAGATAAAAATTCAGGAAGTTCTGATAAAAAACCTAACAGACTGGTAACCCCGTGTACATTTGAATAGTAAACCAATGCATGCTCTTTCAGAAGGCGGTGAAAAGCTCATTTCAGATGTCCACGTCATCTAGTGTCTTAACTGTTAGATACTGCCAATCAGTCAGCCACGTCTGCTCTCTGCAGTGATCTCAGGTGTGCGCACATGTGTAAGAATGGGCCGAGCTCTAAGTGCTCCTTAGATTCTTTTCTCCACATTCCTGACATTTGTACTTCCGCCACTGCCTGTTGGCTGTAATGGGACTGTGGACTTTGAGAGAAGAGATGGGAGAATGCTACAACAGGGTTTAAGTCCTGAACAACAGCTACATGTCTGTGCCAAAATGTTCATTGGCTTAAAATCATGATATCTCTGTGGGCAGTCTTCCCAAAACACATGGACTCTGTGGCAAACACAAGAAGACAATCATGCCTCATAATAATGAAACATCTGGTGGGCACCTGACTTTAGCCTCAAGAGTATTGTCAAGACAATGTGGCAAATACACAGCACAGTACTGTAGCAAGGGATCTAACCATTCATTTGTTCCCACTGGATCTGTTTTGATTTCACTCCTTCAGCGTTGAATGAGGGTCTTGTGATGATGGAAGACAGGGAGAGGGAAAACATCCAACATGTTTAGTTCATTCAATTTGGAGATGGTCACAATTGCAAAATAAAAGTAGCCATTAGAATTAACCATTATTTAAGGTTTCTCCCCAGTGATTTCACTAATGCCTAACTCTTGACAATACCTGACTCCCAGAGGAGTTTGGTCACAGCAGTGATGTTTATGAGGCCAGTGAGAAATGTTTTCCAAAATAGGAGGCAGATGCCCTTTCTTCTAAAAAGACCCAGAATTGGGAAAGCCAAGAAATGCCAACAATTTTAGTCATGCAGGGTTACCTAAATTACATTTAAGACTTTTAAATTCTACACAGAATGAAATTTTTAATACTTTTCTCATGGTCATTCCCGTCAAAGAATGATGGCAACCCAGTCAGGAATTTATTAAGTACATGAAATAACTTACATTTTCATCAGTACTCCCCATTTGTATATAATGATCATCACTGTAAAATGATTGCATTATTAGTAATGTCATTAATTAATTTGGGTTACCTGGACCCAGATAAATGGCAAAAAATGAATGTATGGATTAATCAATTAAAAAATAATTCATTAGTTTAAG